GTTGCTTGGCAATACGGACGTGCTCCATGTAGCCCTGGCGGCGGGTGCCGGCCGTGCGCAGGGGCGGCCCCATCGCCGCGAGCTCGCGCCGACAGTCGGCGGTTTGCGTGTCAATATCGGCGTACACTTTGGGCAGCTCGCTCTCGACAAACGCGAGCAAAAGCTTCAAGAGCTTGGTCGCGAGGCGACCTGTCCCGAGCAAGTGCGTGTTCACGCTGCGCCAGACGCTGTGATTTGCAGGGTGGCCTCCTCGTTGCGCGCGGCTTCAATCGACACGCCCTTGTTCAGCACGTCTTGCTCGCGGCACTTGACCATGTGGTAGCCGTGGCTCCGATTCTTCACGGTGCGGTTCGCGAGCAGATCCAGAACGGCCTGCTCCGAGCCGACGTCGACGAGGTCTGGCTTGGTGAGGATCGACATCGTCCGCGTCCCGTCCGCGTCCACCTCCTTGGAAAGGTGCAAAATCTCAGTGTTGTGCATGTCCACGTTGGCGGGCACGACGGCCAAGATGATCGTGCGTTCTTGATGCAAGAAGCGCTGCACGAGGGCCCGGACGCGCGCAATCATGCCCACGTCTTCATCGTCGCCGACCGTGCGGATGAGCCCCGGGAGGTCGACCAGCGTCAAGTCCGGCAGCGCAGGACCTTCCAGCGCGATCTCGATCCAGTCGTCGCTGATGCTCTGGCCTTCGTCCACGAGCTGCTGCGTGAGCGATGCAACCGCAGCCGTGACGTCGGCCATGCTCGCAATAGCCATCGGTGGCTCGGGCGTCCCGTTGTAGCGCATGAGGCGCGCCGAGCCCGAGAGTTTAGGCGCCTGCGAGAGCACAAGCTGCGTCGGACAGCGCGTTGTGAGCATGCTCGACGACGGAAACGTAATGCCCGAAATGGCCGACAAGACGGAAGACTTGCCGCTCGACGTGTCGCCCATGACGGCGATCTGCGGCAAGGCAATGTACTTGTCGAGGTGGTAGGCACGGAGGCGGTCGACCAAGTGGCGGCGACTCGCGCCCACGTTCGTGACGAAATGCGTCTCGGTGGGGATCGGGGCCGAAGCGGCGGTGAAGGAGCGGAACATGCTGGCAAAAGCAAATGTGCTGGACGACGACAATGGATGTTTCCCCAGAGAAGGGACGCAGTAGCACGTGTTCGTTGGGCCCAGACAGAACAAGCGCTTTTAAAGACAGTGCATACAACAAACTTGATAAAAATCGACAGCAGTGATGGCGACGGACCGCGCAGACTGCTTGGACCAATGTTCGTCGTCCTAGCATGATTGCTTTGGGTGAATACCGCTGCATTTCACGCAATGGCAGTTCAGAGAGCACATTGAACGTGGACACAACCTGGCTGGGGAACAGACAGATCATACATGCTAAGATAAAGCACACATTCTGTCGCCTCGTATCCAGAACCAAGCAGGCGTCTCGGTGCGCTGGACGGTCCGAGGTTTGTACACAATGTAAAATAAGAAGGCGACCAAGGGCGAAACTATAGTCGTACCTCAGGTCTTAGTCATGCTGGTGCCACCAGCAACCAGATCTGGTTGTCCAGTTGCAAATCATTTCCTGACGTTCAACGTCGTGAGCTGGCTTGGGCGATATGATTGGCTATAATAAATCGAGCTTCACGTTTGATTGGCGCGTTTCGCATAATCCAATTGCAATGGAAGGTGCAGGCGGTCGCCCTCTTCCGCTTGCTTCACGGCCATGCCGAGATCCCGAGCGGCTACGTCATCCCGCCCGATGCGCCGTGGCCAACGTCCATGCACGGGCTACCGCTCGGCGCCATTCTCGCCAACGCTGGCGCTGGCGTCTGCAACCCGACGGACATGGCATTGGCCGTTCCACCGCTCGGCAGAGCCACGGCAGCTCCGACGCCGTCCAAACGCCGTGCGTCGACGACACGTGGCGAGCGCTGCAAACGGGCTCGGGTCGGTGGCGAGCTCGACGAGTCGCTTCGGACGGGACCGATCACCCGACGCAAGCAGGCGGCAGTGGACGCGCTTGGCGTTGATGGGTTCAAAAGTGACGACAGCGAGAGCACGGCCAGCGCTACATCCTCCGATGACGACGACACTCCGTTTGTCAATCGTGCTGGGCGCAAGAAGCAACGACGTGTGTCGACGTGGGAAGACAAGATCGACGCGCTCAGTGTGTTCCGCAATGAGCATGGGCATGTCAACGTCCACTGGCTATTTCGCGTGCCGGCGTCGCCAGCGTACTCGCCGCACTTGCACGGTATGCCTCTTGGCTCGATCGTTGGCACTATCCGCGGTCGATGTATTTTGCTCACGCCCGCGCGCCTCCGCGACCTCGACGCCCTCGGCTTCCGTTGGCGATTCGACGCGGGGGGTTACAGCTACACGACTTGCGAGATGCACCCAACCAACCCTCATCTTGTGCACCTCCAATTTGTGACGTGGCAGAGCCAAATCGACGCACTCCTCACGTACCGACGTCTCCACGGCGACCTTGAGATACCCGACGGCTTTTTTGTGCCATCGTCTGCCGAATGGCCGAGTGCGATGCACAACATTAAGCTCAAGTGCGTCCTTCCAGTGCTGCGCAAGCACGTGTACGAGCTTCCAACAGACTATGAAGATCGTTTGCATCGACCCGAGTCGGGTCTCATGCCCGACATTCCCAACTTTGATACGTTTCTGCGTCTGGTCACGATCTACCGCGACACGGTGGGCAGCGGTGCCGTCGCCCGGGACTTTGTTGTGCCACCGAATGACGGCAACTGGATCGACGCGTGGCGCGGCTTGAACCTCGGCGACCTCGCGTGGTCCGTCGGCTTGAACATGGTCGCTCTCACTCCCCAGAAGCGCATGCTTCTGCACGCCACCGGATTTGTCTTCAACTCGGCTGCCACGTGGCATCGCATTGTCGTCGGTCTGCGCGCGTACCACTTGGTCCACGGCACAGCGTCCGTGCCGACAGCGTTCGTTGTGCCAAGTTTGCCCGAGTGGCCGACAGACCTGCACGACATGCGACTCGGTCATTGTGTCGACGTCATGACGTCGGCAAGATCGTACCGACTGCTTCCGGCGGCGACTGTCGCTGCCATCGATGCCATTGGAACGCGTGAGGAAGACAATGGTGCTCTCGAGCCAGCAACGACGTCAAGTGGTCCGGTTGGTGCGTCGCCAGCACCACCGACCTCGACGCTTGCCGCTGCCAGTTTGACAACAGCCCAAGACGCACCAACAAGAGCCACTGGCGAGTCCGAGGTCGCACCGGCATCTGCTGACGACACTGAATCTCTTGGCAACGACGACGAAGACACGATGGGTTTCGACGACGGAGGCATCGACGCCCAAGACGATGAGAACGACATCGAGCCGGCAGCGGTCAGTGGTTGCAGCGGCGAGTCGGCAGCATCAACGTTGGTTCGTATCGGCACGGCCCCAGTCGCCGTCGTCGATAGCAGTGTCGCACCACCGCGCTCAGTCGCAGCAATGGCCCCCGTCGGCTCGCCAGCGCACCAAGAGCCACTGCCAGTAGGTGCCAACGAGCCCGACGCCGGTGCGCAGCTTGCCTCTCGCTTCGAGTCTCCAGAGCTCAGTGATCACGCCAACGACCAGTCGACGCCCATGCTCCTAGCGCTAGCGACCTTCAAGACGCTCTACCACCATCTCGATGTGCCCCAAGACTTTGTGATCGAAGCTACGGAGCCCTGGCCAGCGTCCGTGCACAGCCTCCAGCTTGGCAACGTCGTCATGTCCCTGCGCCTACTGACTCCGGCGTGTCTTGCACCGTGGATCGTGGCCCGTCTTACGACACTTGGCTTTGAGTGGACACCATTGCGCTTTGACTCGGTGGACGGCGCCATGCAGCGTCTCGCCGCCGAGTTCCCGGCGCACCCGCCGACGTCGTTTGTAATACCTGCCCAGTCGCCATGGCCGCAAGATCTCTCGGACGCCGACTTGCTCCAGCTGGGTGCCAAGCGTGATGCGTGGTTGGCAGAGATGACGATCCAGTACGGCGCGTCGCTGGCACTGCTCATGGGGCCGTCAGCCAGACCACCCGCACCGACAGCCAAACGAGTCTACCCGGTGCAACTCGTGTTGGGGTGCATCGAGGTGTACCGCGCACTGCACGACCAGAAGCCTGTGCCACTACTCTTTCACGTTCCGCTGCATGACAAGTGGCCCGCTGCTGCGTCGCTGATGCCGCTGGGGTTCTTTGTCTGGGCGGCGCGGGACCAGTGGGCGAATCTCGACCCGTTGGTGCGCGCTGCGATCTCTGCGTTTGGTCTGTCGCCCGACGTTTTTGCTGCCGCCAACGACGATGCGATCGATGCCGACGTCGGTGCCGTGGAAGACAACGACCAACATAATGACCGAGACATTGCTGGCCCCGTCAACGACGACCCGAGAAACGAAAACAACGATCTCGCCCACGGACCTCTCGCGATGGATGCTGTGCCTGCAGTCGCCGCCGCTGATCCAGCGCTGCCCGATGCCATTCGCCCCGTCGAAGGAGCCATCGACGCACGCGATGAGCTGGTAGCGCCTCGCCAAGTCTACCGTCCCGCTCTACCGCCAGTGCTCTCCGACGGGTTTGACTGGCCATTGCTGCTGGGTGCGTTGTCCTGGTATTTCATCGTCCAGAGGCACTCGGACGTTCCTGCTGCGTACGTCACAGAAAGCAACGTCCCGCTCGGCGACCTCGTCCGTCAAATTCGCCAAGGACACGTCCTGCTGCGACGAGAGCGTCTCGAGGCACTCGATCGCCTCGACTTTGACTTGTCGTGCACCATGTACAACTAATTGAATGTAATGTGTACGTGAGACCTCGTCGTGTTCTAGCACTTGCGTCCTACTGCGGAACGATCCAACAACGAGCAAGAGAAAAAGAACATCAAACGAGAGTTAGATCGCTGAGACTACGGCAGCTTGGCCACCACCTCCTCCACGAGCGTCTCGCTAACTTCCCAGAGCTTGGCCGCGAGGTCAGCATCTGTCGCTTTCGGGTGGAGTTCGTCGCTGACTTGGCAGTCCAAGTAGTAGACGCCTGGCACGACGTCGGGGCGAAGGGCCGTCGCGACCGTGGTCGCCACGCCCTGTGGGATCGACTTGAAGCTTTCGTAAAACAGCCGGCGCAACGTGCCGGAGCGCAGCCCCGAGATCGCGCGCAGAGCATTTCCAAGGCCCACAAAGCGCGAGAGCTCCGAGCTCGGGATCGAGCCCGGGTGCAGCGAGACGGAAATGACGTTCTGGCTCGCATACCGCTTGTTGAGCTCCTTGGCGAAGAGGACATTGGCAAGCTTGGCGTGGCCGTAGCGCTCCCACGGGTGGTAGTACTTGTCGCCGTTAATGTCGTCAAACAGAATCCCTTGCTCGGGCGCGAAGAGGTACTGCGCGAGCGACGCTAGGTTGATCACGCGGGCTGGCGCGCTCGGGGTTCCCGTCTTGACGAGCGTCGGCAAGAGCAGCTTGGTCAAGTAGAAATGACCAATGTGGTTGACGCCAAACTGCGTCTCGAAGCCGTCGGTCGTTGGCGCCTTGGGGCACGCCATGACACCGGCGTTGTTGATGAGCACGTGCAGTGCGTCGTGCTGTGCCTCGAACGCAGTCGCAAACGCCTTGATCGACGCCAGCGACGCCAGGTCCAGCGGCAGGAACGACACCTTGGCGTCGGGCTGCGCAGCGACGATTGACGCGACAGCTGCGTCGCCCTTGGAGGCGGAGCGACAGGCGATGACGACGGTCGCGCCCTTGGCCGCGAGGACCCGCGCTGTCTCGAGGCCGAGACCCGTGTTGGCGCCGGTGATGAGAACGACCTTCTGCGGGACCTCAGCGGCCAAGACGGAAGCGACTTGCTCGCCCGTCGTGTAAAAGTTGAACGCGGATGGCGTCTGCGGCGCCGACTGGTGACTGCCCATGGCTCGAGAAGTTTGATTGTGACGCGTTCTAGACGCCGAGCGCCGAGAGTCTGTGTATGATTGGTCAGAATGGGCCAATCATACGTGTGTACAGGGAGAAAAGGCACCAATCAGAGACGGCGGAGGATTCGTATCGCAATGGCGTTACTAAACTGCGGTGGCGGGAACAATAATAATGACGTGGCGTGGCACGGCAGACAAAGCGCACGCCTCGTATCTGGTTGCTCCTATTCTCTTTGAGTGTACCCAAGCACATGGACAAGGACACGTATGTTGAATGGAGATTGCGTGGCTCCGTTGCACCCGGTCCATGTCCCCGTCCCTAGCTTGGTCTCCATAATGCGAGGTGCTACCCAAGTGCTAAGTTGGTGTAAGGTAGTAAACTTTTGTTGGTCAACCGAGAACGTGAGTTTGTGGAAGAAAGAGTATAGTTTGAACGAGACGAGAGCAGGGTCGGGCTTGATGTCGAGCTTGCAGCCGATGTTACGTCGCACCGGGTAGAGCCTCAAGAAACCACTGCAACGACGAGCACTTGGCCAAGGATTTCATCGCTCGAGCCAGCGAGTATAGCGGCTACTACGAGGGACAATCTAGAACCAACGACCGTCATTGGGCCTTTGTTGTTGCGTCGTTCGCGACGTCTCCACGTGTGCGTATCCGGATGCTATCCGGAGTGCGGGTCCTCTGTAATTGGCCTCTTTTTGGCCAATCCCGATGCGCGCCGTGGCGGAAGCCGTCATTTTCGATTCTGGAAAGGAGCGGCCGACGTCATGCGCGTGTCGGTCACAGTCAAGCGGTCGAACGGAGAAAAGTTCAACGTCGAGGCCGAGCTCGACAGCACCGTCTTGGCCTTCAAGGAGGAGCTCGAGCAGACGACGCAGGTCGCGCCGGCCCTCCAGCGCCTCATCTACAAGGGCAAGGTCCTCAAGGACGAGCTGACG